TTTTTTTTTTTTTGCAGTGTTTGGTGGGGGCTGGGTTTGAACCCACCATCTCTGGCAGATGGGGCCAGCACCCTACTCCTTTGAGCCACAGGCACCACACAGATGTTGAAGAATTTCTTAAGTGTGATAATAGTATTGTGGTGATGTGAAAGTCTTTCTCATTTATGCATGCACAAATATTTGCAGACTGAATAATATGCCATCTGGGATGTGCTGTAACCTAATCCAGTTGGGGGAGTAGATGACAATGAAATGACTATGAGATTGGTCATGAATCAGTAATTGTTCATTAAATCATTCTATTTTTTATATGTTTGAAATTCTCCATAATGCAAGAATTATGCATTTTAAAAAATTTTTTAAAAGGCCTATGCAAGAAACTAGGCATGACGTTATGTGGGTGTGAAGGGACGCAGGTGACAGCAAGGTGCGCTGTGAGCTGGGAGAAAGCGCCAGGCAGGGCAGACCGGTCCAGCCGCCGGCTGCCCACGGCGCCTCTTCCAGGCCATGCTCCCGGATCCCACAAGGGGGCGCCCGAGACCAAACTAAGCTACGGCACCGAGGGGCAGGGCAGGAGCTGGTCTGCGACTACCAACTCTGAGACTTCAAACTGCTCCCTGGGGGACAGTTTAAGCACAAATATTGCAGACACTGAGAGTTAGGCTTTTCAGCTATTTTTTCATCTGGGTGTCACTTTGGAGAACTTTATCTCTTTCGCTTCTTCTTTTTTCTTTTTTTTTTTTGAGACAGAGTCTCACTATGTCACCCTTGATAGGGTGCTGTGGCATCGCAGCTCACAGCAACTCCAACTCTTGGGCTTAAGCGATTCTCTTGCCTCAGTCCCCCAAGTAGCTGGGGCTATAGGCGCCCGCCACAATGCTCGGCTATTTTTACACCACTTAACAAAAATTGACTTGTGTTTGTTCTTAACATCTGCAGACTCACTGATCCATCAATGACACCAATATCCTGCTTTCTCTTATCTGGGGTTAAGAAGAAAAATAAAACATGGCTCATTACCTCCAAACTATGCAATATCAAGGGGGGAGCCAGTAATGCCTAATCACAGTACTGAGTGAGAAATATGACGGCTCGCAGAGGTCCCCCATGTAAAACAGCACCTTCTGTCCCTCTCCACCTTCTTACTCGGCTTTGCTTTCCTTCACGTTACATTTTAAAATGTGATGTTTTATTCCATACACATGTTTTACTGCTTTCTTCTTTTTCTCCAAGCTAGAATGTAAAATCTGAAAGGCCAGTCCTTCTTTACTTCAGTGCTCTGTTCACAGTGCCAAGAACAGTGCCTGGCACGAAGTGGGGACTCAATAAACTGCCGATCATTGCAGTTGTTATTGTTGTTTAGCTGGCCCAGGCCGGGTTCAAACCCGCCACCCTCGGTACACGTGGCTGGTGCCATAACCACTGTGCTACAGGTGCCGAACTTCCCTTTGGCTTCTGTAGCAGAGTTTCTTGTGTGTGTGTGATAGTCGTATTGAGATATAATTAATATAACATAATGTAGCCACTGAAAGTGTACAATTCAGCGGTTTTTAGTATATTCACAGATGCGTGAAGTTGTCACAGTCACCTCTGTTAATTTTTGTATTTTTCCATAACTTCAGGAAGAAACTGGGCACTCTCCCCAGCTCTCAGTCAGCGCTGGTCTACCTTCTGCCTCTGGATTTCTCTGGTGTGGACATTCTGCGTGGTTTCCACCAGTGAGCAGGCTTCTCTCCCTCCCACCCTGGGGCTGAGAGTGGCAAGTGGGGGTCTTTGGGCTTCCCACTCCTTCTTGGGGAAGCCTGACCCAGAACCCAGAAGTTGCAGGTCCCCACCACCATTCCTGCACCACTCAGTGAGATGGGCTCCTCCCAGAGTAGACTTTAAAGATTCAGGGTCCACAGCGGGGGCTCACCCCTCACCCCCACACACACATGCACACACACACGCGCACACACACATTTGCTATCTATATGCGCAGTGCAACAATCAGCCTGAGGAGCAGTGATAGTTTGCACCCCTGACATCGCCAAGGGGATGGTACAATGGGCTAGTGGTTCCTTGAAAAGTCAAAACATAGAGTTACCATGTGACCCAGGAATTCCGCTCCCAGGTATATGTGTATACCCACGAGAACTGAGGACATCTGTCTGCACAAAAGTTAGAATGCCAGTGTTCACAGCAGCATTACCTGTAACAGCTCCAAAGTGGAAACAGCCCAAATAGCCATCAACGAATGACCAAATGAACAGAATGTGTAGATTAAAAAAAAATCCATATAATGAAATTCTATTCAGCCATAAAAAGGAATGAAGTACTGATACATGGATGACTTTTTTTATTTTTTTGAGAGTCAGAATCTTACTCTGTTGCCTGGGCTAGAGTGTCCTGGTGTCTGGCTAGCCCATAGCAACCTCAGACTCCTGGGCTCAGGTGATCCTCCTACTTCAGCCTCCTAAGTAGCCAGGACTACAGGTGCCCACCACAATGCCTGGCTCATTTTTTTCCTGTTTTTGGTAGAGTTAGGGTCTTGCTCTTGCTCAGGGTGGTCTCAGACTCCTGAGCTTGGTTGGTCCTCCTGCCTCAGCTTCCCAGAGGGCTAGGATTATAGGCATAAGCCACTGTGACCAGCCCCC